TCGACGGGAGGCTGCGGTGTTTGGAGCCGAAGCCTCGAGCCCGGGAAGGGAGTCGGTGGGGTGGCAGATGAAAGGCGCCACATCAAAAGTGCGCTTCAAGCAGCAAAGTGCCCCTTGATGTGTTCTCTAGGGGTGGTTTAGAGAGACAACGCTGTCCGTCGGAGGAGCTGCACGCCGCACGCTCCCTTTCTCGCTGCCGATGGTGCATTTATGCACTCTAATGTGAAATACTCCAGTTTTGATGGTGCTGCTCACGGGGTGCAGGCGAGCAGGAGTGCAGCCCAAGGGCTCGCACGGCCCCGCTGCCTGGAGAGCAGGGAACAGCCGCCCCCTTGGAGGTGCTGGGGCACTTTGAAGTTGTCCCTTGCCAGCCGGGCAGGCCAGGACCTGCGTGTGGGTGGCGGTGGGACCCCATGGCAGGGGTGCCCCATTACACTGTGCATCCCCTTGGGAAAGGCTTGTCCCAGCCCTAGGTGCCTCTTGGGAGGGCTGGTCCAAAAGATCTGGCTCTGATCGTAACCGAGCAGCGGTGAATCGGAAGTTACAGCTTCTATCATATTCTTGAGCTGAAGTGCACTGGGCTCATAATAAAAGGGCAAATATGTAAGCTCAGGGACTAATAAAAAGAACTTGCTGCACCGACTGTGGCTGTTCTGATAGAACATTTATACCCAGCCCTGAGAATAATGTGACAATCTGGCCGTTCCCGGAGGCTCGTGAGAAGGCAAATTGCAAATCCCAGTGCTGTAGCTGCATTTGGCTTCAGCTAATCTAGGATGGAAATATTAGCGAGGAGGCTCTGCGAAATGCAAACAAGCCGTGGATGAGCCCGGGAAGGTAATAACAGAGCTGAGCGAACGCGCTCCTCCTTATTACCATGCCTCGTCCTACCCAGCACCCAGCAATGACAAATGAACCTTCCTCGCAGTTGCCTCTCAGTCCTACATATGGGATATTTCCTGAACAAACAGCTGTCAAAAGCTGCAGAAAAGGATCTCAGGCTATTATCTGCGGTGTAGTGCATAGAAATGAGAGATTTGATTAACGGCTTCTTTAATTCCCTGCTATTTAAATGCTTGTACAAAATGCTGGGCAGCAAAGCTAAGTCTCCATAAATATGACACACCGCTGAGTTGGAATAAACCATCAGATTTTTTATTAGGAAGCAAATTGAGAACTTCATGTGTTGGCTCTGCCTGGTGCCGGGCCGGGAACTCTTGGTTGCAGCAGAGCAGCCAGGGCTGCGGTGCAGCAGGGATGCGCAGGACCCCGTGTTCCTGCTGCATTCCAGAATTCCTGCTGCATCCCAGGC